TGGGCCGGGGCCGGTGAGTGATCTGTCTATGATACTGAATATTTCACAGTGCCACTGCTGTCTGAATTTTGAAGAGCAGTAATCTTCAAATATTCAAAGCTTTTGTTCCAGTTAAGAGCTCTTCTAAATAACTGATTCGCCCTTTTCCCTCCCTCACTTCATTCATGTCTGGATGTATATAAGTGAATTTGGTAATAATTTTGGGTTTGGAAGTCGGTTAAATGGAGAATGAAAAATAAGATGGCTTATAATAGTCCATGCTCCCTCATTTTTTGCTTATTCAGAGCAGTTCGATTAATATGCGTACCGATTTTTTTTTTTTTTTTTTTTTTTTTCCTCTTTCAGCTCCAGAAACACTGATGAGAGCCTTAGAGCTTTTGAATTATCTGGCTGCTTTAAATGATGATGGAGACTTGACTGAGTTGGGATCCATGATGGCTGAATTTCCATTGGACCCGCAACTGGCTAAAATGGTTATTGCAAGTTGTGACTACAACTGTTCTAATGAGGTCCTATCTATTACTGCCATGTTGTCAGGTAATAGCAGGAAAAAAGATACTAAACAAAATGCAGATCTTCAGTTTGGGGAAAATTTGACTTTTCCACATCAAAACCATAAACAATATAAATACATTTCTAATAAAATTAGTATTATTTTTTAAACTTCATATAGAGGTTTAATCAGTCATTCTGGGTTTACATAGAGACCTTGAAGCTAATGAATAATAATATTAAGAAATTAACATGCATAGAACGGTCAAACAGTTTGCTCCTAACTTTATTTAAAAATGTATATATTTGAGTTAATAGAGCAGAAAAAATCAGGCTAGTGGAACAGAAATTTCTGTTTAGGCTCATAGTCGGGACCAGAAATATCAGCTCAACCACTTTGTTTTTAAGGCAGTGAAATCTATTTTGTATTATGCAGTCTTTTGCACTTTGAGAAATCCTAGTATTGCCAAAAGGATTACAGTGTAATTCATATTAAACCATAAGCTTGTACATGATATGATGATACATTTTTCAGTCCTTAAGTGGCAAAGCTGAAGAACAGTTGTTACTTTTAAAGAGAAGAAAGAAACTTCGGGGGAGGATGTATATTTATAAGAATTAATTTGTGTGCACAGCTGTACTTTGCTGCTGCGTTATATGAATAGCACTGCGTCAGAGCAGAGCTGCTTGTCGAGAGAGCTTGATGAGAGAGAAATGTTATCAAGCAAGACTTGTGTTTCATTTCCTGGTTGTGTAGAACTGACTTCATTTTATAGTTAGTTGTCATAGGACAAGCAGCAAGATTTAGTCTATTATGAAAATGGGGATGTTCTTACTGATAACTGCTCTTTTGTCTCTTGAGTGTGCTATTTTACCACGCTCTTCACAATTCAGGTGTGCTGGTTACATGCTTAACTTGGCTGACTAGAGAAATGTTTGGCTAAGTGTAAAATCTGTTGCTTCAGTTTAGTCTTGCAGTATATTTATATGAAAGTTTTTAAGAACAAACTAAAATACTTGTTGCAGAGTTATGATTGTTCAGACTCAGAGCAGATGGGCAGGGCAGAATTGTAATAATTTTTTTTTTAATTAAATGGTGGGCTTAATTGCGGAGGTGGTGGTAGGTTGGTGCCTGTCTTTCTCTTCCCTTCCCCCCATTCTACCCCCAATCTCTACTACAGAACAATAAGTCTAGTATTTTTGTCTGTGGTCTTCAACTGATTTGTCTTACTTTTTTTTTATTTACCTTTTCCTCGGCCATGATACTTTTTTGTTTTCAGGCACAATTAATGTCATGATAAATAAGTTTTAGAGGAAAAAAACATGGATTGAAGCTGGTTAATGTATGGGTTGTAACTAAAATTCTGCTCTTAAAAAAAAAAAAGTCCTAGTGTTTGTGAGGATAATTTCCCAAAGTAAACACTTTTTTAAACCAGCAGTGAGACTGTTACGGTGCCTTAAGTCCACATAAAGATTGTCAGGCTCTGGTTAGCAATCTGTGCATTACTAGTTTGGACTGAATGGAAGACCAGGTACCAGAAAAGAGCAGAGAATAGCATTGAATAAATGAGCAGATTAGATGATTGTACTTCATTTTGTAAGAGCTGTGGTGTCTTGCTGTGGGGTAGAAAGTGTTATTACTTATTCAAAATGATGAGTTAAACCAGTGGTAGAATAATTTGGAATTTGCTTTTATTAGTCTGAGTTTAAAATTAGAATACAGGATTTGTTACCATGTGATTCACTGTTGCAGTGTGTATTTTTTTCTCAAGTTCCCTCCAGTAATCAACTGAACATATTTTTGAAATGTAGCGTTTTGGGGCTTTTATGGGAATTTAAGAATAAAAGAAAATAAAACCACATAACACCTCACAAAAAGGCCCTCATCTGTTAGGGACAGATGAGATGCAAAGAGGTGTCCGCATGAGTTTGGTGGGCTTCAGTTGTGAGAAGGCTAATGTAGTCCTGAGCAGCTGGAAGAGAAGGGATTTGTAGCATCTTACTTAGCATTAATTCCATTGAAATTTAACATTTTTAAAATTACACCTACTTAGAACCAAATGGATTTTTTTTTTTCTCCTGTGGATCTCTCTAGAGTGAAGATCTCTTATAACTACTTTCAACATCTCGTGAATTAGTATTGATATTACAAAGCTGTGAGACTGTTGACAGACCATGAATTAAGTTAGCTGCAGCATTACTTGTGGTCTTAGGTAGTCTGTATTTGGAAAGGGTATGTTAAAACACAGTTTTTGGATTCAAGTCAGACTGAGAATATAATGATAGAGAAAGCTCATCATATTGTGATTTTTTTTAAAAAAACTTTTTTTATTTCAAGTAGTGCCAAAGGACGGTTTAACCTTCCACCACTACCGCTACCATCACAACCTTTGGACTTATTAATACCTTCATTCACATGTTTCTGTGTACCAGTGCTGATAACGATACCATCTGGGGAGGAGGACTTGAGTTTACTAGCGTTCTGTCTAGTATCAGACTTGTGGTAAAACTCATGTTTGTTTAGACTGTGCTAGTGCAGTACAGTTTCAGAACTATCTTCTTCACTCTGTGCATAGAGACTTTCTGAGAAAGCAAATTTGCAGTTAAAGTGTTTTGTTACATATGGGGTACTAGCTCCTGGTAGAGCTATCAGCACTGGGTCTTGAACCAAGATCTGTTTAGCCTTCCAGTATATATAAGCAATCTTGATGGCCTTCAGACTAGAGATTTTGATGCCTACATATAGTTCTATTAAAACAATTAGATACTCTGTAGCTTTGAAACCCTCTTGTCTTACAGATGTGGTTAGGTGTTGATGTACCAAATCAAGGTAGTAAACAGTCCAAGATGCAGTTGGAGGCCATCCTGCCCTGCCCTATGCTCTGTGAACTGACCTAGCTAGGCCTTGTTCCTCTATCTGTGAATGCGTGACTCATCGATATGGGCGTTTGTGTTGGGCCCATACCAACCTTGTTTAGTCCCACAGTGTTTTGTTCGCCCCACGGAAGCAAAGAAAGCAGCAGATGAAGCCAAGATGAGGTTTGCCCACATAGATGGAGATCATTTGACGTTGCTGAATGTCTACCATGCTTTCAAACAAAGTAAGTGCACCTGTTTTAGCAAAACTATTTGTAATACTTTGTGCTGCCAGCTTTTGATCCTGGGTTCCAAGGACAGTTGAAAGGCTTGACCTTGTTTCTTGAGCCATTGTATTGTAATCTCAAATATATGTTTTGTTTTGTTTTTTCTTAAAATATGTAAAAGAGTTATTTAAGTGCTACTTTCCTTGGGGGGTGGGGATGGGGGAGTGGAACAAAACTGAAAAACTAGCCAATAGATCATGTAGTAAACTGATAAGTATGGAGACCAGCCAGGCTTTTAAATCAATGCTGGATAGCCTTGGACAGAAGAAAGGAAGTGTTCCTATAACTAAGAAATACTGGAAGTTTGTTATCTGACATTAATTATAGAAAGATCTGCGTAATTGCTTAGTAATTTTTCAGGCAGAGCAGTGTAGAAAATACTGTGAATTTGGAGAATATGTTCCTAGAACCAAAACCTTTTTAATCCTAACTTCTTAATATAGTTAGGAATTCTGTAATAAGGCCTTGGGATGGATTGAGAGGCAAAGGGGTGATGCATCAACAAGAAGTAACTTAGAGTCATACGATAAACTTACTTAATTTACCCCATTTCTGTGTATGGATTTTAGGGAAAATATACAGTCCTCTTCAGCATAGCTGAAATATGTTTTAGCAGCTTGAAAAAGATGGGAATGAACGGATGAAGCTAGGAGTTCTCTTGAAAAATGACTAAAGTGGCACACTTTTTTAACAGTGACTTATCCTGGTGGTAAGTGAAACGATTACTCTTAACTGCCAACCAGGTTAAATTAATTGCTTCAGTTGCATATTCCTGTAAGCAAGCAAAAACCCAACACTTTTACCCTGAGTAAAAATAAACACAATTCAGTGCCCCTTTCTGTTGCAGCTTTGATCTATAAATTTTACATTGAAATGTTCTAATGCTGTATCATTATGTGGCAATCCAAAATAAGGATATCTTCAGAGTAAAAGTCCAAACAAAAGTATTCAAAACTCTTTAAAACAATAGCTGAGAAACTTCTACTAAACACCTGTGAATTGGAGACATCTGTTCCTTGTTTTTTTCTGTTAGCTTTTTAGATAACAGGATCCAGTATGTCTTCCAGACATTTTGTGTGTGCGTGTTTCTGGAAGCCACTGCTTTCATGCTGAGGTTACTGAGGGATGGAATTATTTGGGGAATAATCTTTTGTTCGGTTTCACTGTGAAATTGAGTAGGATTTCTGAGATTCAGGATAAGAAGACAAAATGCTGCTATTGTTTCTATATAGAACAATATAAACCAGTTACGGGGCATCTGAAATGCAGTTCAAATGGCACAGAAAGTAGCATGCTCTGGTACTTCAGTTATGATTCTACTGTATAGTGTACAAGACCTTCAGCATTCATACTTCAGTTTAAATAGATTCCGTAAAATAAAGGGCAGGAAGACCTTAAACTTCCCTCAAGTTACGTAATCTTCCTTCTTCTCAATGCAAATTAAGAATAGTCTTGATCTGTACAAGAGTTACTTCAAGTTTTAATTTTTGTTAAGGCTGGTTTTGTTAGATTATTAAACTGACAAAGATTAGAAGAGCATGACCTGAAAAGTAACAGAATTGGTAGGGAGAACTGGGTTTCTTGGTGTTAAACATGCAGGTTTTTATCCTGACAGAATGGCTTAGGCTTGCTGTCTTAACAGATTTCATCAGAGCTATCAGCAGTAGAAACAGTAACTTAAGAGTACAGAGTTCTGTTACTGACGCTGTATTTTACTTAATGCTTAATTTAAGGAGGGTTTGGTTTCTCAAATATAGTATAATTATGTACAGTCTTCTTGTGTGTTCGTTACACGCTACAGTTAAAGATTATGCAGTGTTTCTTATGTTCAGTTACATTTTTACTCTGCAGGTTTGGAAGATGATGAGCTTAATTATGGTGACAATAGGTTTGAGTGTTTATGGGTGAGAATGAGGGGGAAGGCCAACAAGACAGATACCATGGTGGGAGTGTGCTATAGACCACCCAACCAGGATGAAGAGGCAGATGAAATAATCGATAAGCAGCTGGGAGAAGTCTCACAATCACTTGCCCTTGTTCTCATGGGGGACTTCAATTTACCAGATGTCTGCTGGAAATACAATACAGCAGAGAGGAAACACTCCAGGAGGTTCCTGGAGTGTGTGGAAGAGAACTTCCTGACAGAGCTGATGAGGGAGCCAACTAGGGAAGGCACCTTGCTGGACATGTTATTCGTGAACAGAGAAGACTTGTGGGTGCTGTGATGGTTGGAGGCTGTCTTGGGCGTAGCAACCACAAAATGGTAGAGTTTTTGATTCTTGGAAAAGTAAGGAGGGAGGTCAGCTAAACAGACTTTGGCCTGTTCAGGAGCCTGGTTGAGAGAGTCCCTGGGGATGCGGTCCTGAAGGGCAAAGGAGTCCAGAAAGACTGGATGTTCTTCAAGAAGGAAACATTAAAAGTGCAGGAGCAGGCTGTCCCCATGTGCTGAAAGAGGAAACAAGCCAGTGGGGAAGAAGACCGGCCAGAGGGGGCCTTTGGGTGCAACGTCGGGGGGGGGGGAGGGGGAGACAGTTTATGACCTTTGGAAGAAGGGGCAGGCAACCCAAGAGGACTATAGGGGCGTCATGAGGTTATGCAGGGAGCAAATTAGAAGTGCCAAAGCCCAACTAGAACTTAATCTGG